AAGAAAAGTGTAAAATCTTTCGAGATATGAATCGATAATTTATCTTTATATACTCTTTCTCTTTTCTTATATAGATATTGTTTTTATCATATCATATAAAAATCGATTTCATAATTTGAATGATTTAATACATTTATTATCAAATATCTTAAATTTTAAACTCATTAAATTTAACTTCTCGATTTATTTTTGTCTAAATAACTATTCATTTCTCATTTAAACTTAGCAATTACTATTTATTTTAACCTGCTTTATAAAAACTTCTCATCTATTAAAGATATACTCGATCAGTCTCACGATTGATAAAAATAATTTATTTTTACTCCTACTAAATTACAGACAATTCCTACCAACAATATTATTTTAAAAAAAAAATAGAGGAGGAAATGCATTAGATGCACTAAAATTTTAAAATTATATTTATCAAAATTTCCATGCACTAATAATTATCTCTATTTAATTAGAGCAATAAGTATCTTTTTGTTCCATGTGCTATGCATGTTAGGGTTAACCGACCAAAATAATTAAACAAAAATATCTTCTCAATCATATGCTTCTGATCTTTATTAAAAAAAAATATTTTTTAATTCTTTTTTTTATGTGTTTGTGATGATTTTGTCTAATATTTCTCATTAGCAATCATAATTATTACTAATTAGAACGTATAATTACACTTATGGTCCCTAATTGATGAGCAAATCGTAAATGTTAGCGTAAGCATATATGAGAATCCGAAACTAAAACGGTACAAAATTTTAACAAAAATTCCAAAACGGTATATAAAATTTTATATTAACCTAAACGGTAAAATCGCTGCAGGCGCAGTGACTTACCTCACCTGAAAAAGTAAAATCGCTGCTGAGGCAGCGATTTTGAAAAAATTATTATTTTTTAATAAAAAACTGAAATCGCTGCCTAAGCAGCGATTTCAAAATTTTGCTTCTTCCAAATCGCTGCTTTGGCAGCGATTTCATATTATTTTTTAATTATAAATTTTTTTATTAAAAAAAAATAATTTTTGCAAAATCGCTACCTCAGCAGCGATTTTACTTTTTCAGGTGAGATAAGTCGCTGCGCCTGCAGCGATTTTACCGTTTTGGTTAATATAAAATTTTATTTACCGTTTTGGAAATTTTTGTTAAAATTTCGTACCGTTTTAGTTTCGGACTCGCATATATGATACGATTTGCTAATATGAACGAATTGAAAATATAACAAACAATAAAATTGCGTGCCTTTGGATAATTTTACAATAAAAAATTGACTATTTTCTTTTATTTTTTTTAAGAAAATAGAAGAAAAATAACATTTATTTTTCTAAATAAAGAGTCATAATAACGGTTTTATATGGCATTCTTTTCAACATTGAATGAGTTCGTATTTATGGTTTTTGGTTGATTATTTCAATGTTGAAGCATTTAAGGCGTAATAGATAAAAAAAATATATTATATTTTCTTAATTTGTCAAAATAAATAACTGGAAGGAGTTAAAATTAGACGAGTAAAAAGGGACGGGGGAGTAGCCGACAAATCATACAAGAAAAAAAACTACAAAATTAGATAAGTCTCGTGCATCGAGTACGACCAATGTGGGGTGTAATGTCAAACTCTCTTATTTGTCCACTTTTGAATTTGCATACTGATTAAGAAAACAAATTCATATAGTGAGTTGACCATTTTACCCCTATTAATTATGAAATGGATGAATTAAAAACTAGTTCCACTATTTTCAAAGTAATTAATTGTAAAACTTTTAAATGTGAATAAGTATAGCACTCATATTCATTATGATTTTATGATAATTAGTTTAAGAGATTCTTTTAAGATATCATAATTACTAGAGTTAATTTTTTGCTTATTCATATAGGGACAACCTTAATTATTGATGAAATAATGTGTGAAATGTCTTACAATTTAGGCCCATTTTGTGACCAAAGATGAAAAACAATGTTTTAAATTATTGAAAAAATTCTATATTTTTTCATTGATTTTTGAAAGAGAAATTTCACTAGGCAAACAAACATAGCTAGCTACCACACAATTGAAGTTAGATTAGTGTATTATTATTGGGCCAAATAGGGCCTACCCTCTATCACATTTCTTTTCAAACAAATGGGTGAGATAAAGGTGATATGGGAAACTATCAGTTCGGTTTGATTTTATGTATTATTAATTATTAATTTTTGAGTATACTAAGTTAATAAAATACTTTTTCGATTTTTGGTGTATTGATCTTAATTTTTTCTGGTTTGATCTTTTGTTTAACCAATAAAAAAATGTTCTTACAATAAATATATGACTTCTCCAATAATTTAATCCAACTGTTGAATGGACAATAATGTAACTTTTGAAGAATGCTCATAAAATAAAGAGAACAAACACGAAAAGAACTATACAGGTGTAAACACAAATAAAAGAATTGGGTCAATAGTGTGAATAGAAGGATAAAGGGCAAAGACAATAACTAGTAAATAAAATAAGTGATTTTAATATTTAATATTTATGTAGAGGTAAGGAATAAATTGCTATCCTCTTAATGAATTATCGATAAACCATATAGCCCAATATTAAAGAGCCAAAAACAAATCGACAATTTTCTTATATAAAACCATTGAAATATTGTTGACCAATAACTGAATAACAATAAATCGATTCGATTTATTGATCGTTTAGGCTTTTGCACACTCTTGTTTTTTTTTCTTTTTTGATATTTGGATCAACAAATACACACACATATATACTTTCAAATGTGTAAATAATTCAAACATATGCAAATCATTTCATAAAAAACTATTTTATATTGTATCAATAGTTTATACAATACCAATAATGCTAATTTTAGAAATTAGGAAGTTCAAAAAAAAAATAAAATATATATATATATATATATAAAAGGAATATATCCACCACTAAAACCTAAAAGAAAATCTTCACATAGATTGTGTGATGTCCTACTTATTGTATGTGAATATTTCTTTTGTAGACATGGGACACATGTCTCACTTATTCTCTCAATGAAACCAAACATGAAAAGACCATTCATTCATTGTACACAAGAAAATTGTAGCTTAGTCATGGATTGTATGAGTTATTTTATTAGTATGGGAGTCAGAATTTTTATAATCGGTCAAAAACATTTATTAAAAAAAGGTAAATATTCGAAAGGAACCATAATTTGATTTGTAAAAAAAGCTAGCATGGTAGTGAATTATTATTTAAAGGCATTGAGTATTAATTATGTAGTGCAAATAAGTTGTCAAATTGGCAAAGAAAAAATATCTCCTAATATAGGTTTATCCATAAGAGCTGGCCTATGAATATGCTTTGTATTTATAACCACTAATAGTACCCTAGCAAACTCTTATTTATGTTCACTAATTTAGTGATGACAAATGGACGGATTGAGAGCAGTCAATATAAAATATGAAATAATTTAGTCTGTTTATATTTTATAAGGGTAAAAGCGGGTCGCATGACAAACTGAGTTAGGTGATAGATAATAATTTACTTTAGACTTCAATATTATAAATCTGATAATTTGATCATCAATTTTTAAAGAAATAGTTTCTAATTATGTTTATCTACATTACATTTAAAGTCAAAGTACAATTCACCAAAATTCGACTTTGCCCCGACCCTACGAACCGACCTCGGATGGAAAGGTCAAGGTCGAGAGTCGGGTCTTGGGTTTGGAATAGTTTAGGTTTGAATTCTGAGTCCCAAGTCGAGGGATGAGGTCGGGAGTCGAGTCCCAAGTCAGGGTTAATTCTCATGTCGGTCTCACGTCAAGGGTTAGGGTCAGGCAATGAGTTCGGGAGTCAAGTCCCAAATCATGGTCGATTCTCAAGTTGGTCTCGAGTTAGGGCCACAATTTGAAGCAATAATTTACTTGTGTCACCGACAGTAATACTTGTGTCGAGGCAAGCCACCTACAAGTAAAACACATACCCTAGGAGTAGGACACCTTGCATTCATGTAAAATGTTTCGTACACCGAACAACCTGAACCTTGAAACTATGCAATGAGTCAAAGCAAGTAAATCATTTAAAATCACTCATTATTGTCATCATCATATGTGACCATAAACTAGCAAACAACACACATATTAGTGACACCATGAGAAAATAGCAGCCACTCAGAGAAATACATATATAGTATATGAGTGCAGCCGCCTTTGACTAATATGTAAAAAAATCTAGTATAAAATTGATATAATTCACAAACAATAAGGTTTATAAAATGCACAACACAACAAAAGTTCAGTGTCATCTACAGGAACTGACTTAAAAGCAAATGTTAAAGCCATCAAGATCAAAGAAAAAAGCCAACCAAGACCACTATTAAAAGATAGAATCCAAGTCACTGATAAGCACAAAACAAAGAAACAAAAAAAATCACTAAACATTTTGTATTGTCACTTCTACTCTTACCTAACTAATGAGCTAATAAACTAGATTTAAAAAAATTGGTGGACATTGTCAAATCTTGTCCCAACAAAAACTTGAAGTATTTTACTCGATACATGTTGACTCGCACCAGCACAGGTACTGAATAACTCAGCCGAGGTTCAAATTTCAGCAAAAACAAAAACAATAAGCAATTTCCAACTATGGAGGACAGAGTTACTAGCACGTGTGCTGGAATGAGGTAGCGATACTCCATGAATTAATCGAGATGTACTCAACCTGTGACACAAACACCAAATATTACAGATTATACTACAAGAGACCAACTCAATATCTGTGTCCCAACTCAACATTTCATACTAGTCCTTCAGCACTAGTATATCAAGCCAAAAACACTTACTTAGAACAAGAAAAACAAGCAAATCATAGTCAACATAAGGTCATTATGTTAAACTCACTGCTTTTTTGGTCGAACAAGTAGAGTTAACTCAACATAGAAAACAAAGAAGCCCTCAGATTCGAGTTTCAGAATCGTCTAGCAAACAACTCTTCAGCTTCAAAAATCAAACATGAAGACTGCTCAGAATATAATCATCATTCAACAATGAGAAGAGAACTCTGCATATAAGTTCCATCTTCTTTCTTTTATTCAAACAAATAGACAATACATTGCAGAACGCTTCGTTACATAAAGGGGTAAAAACCAAAGCAAGATGATCAAACCCCTGAAACAATTAGAACACTGTAAACTTCAATACCTCCATCTCGAGCGAACACCACCTTCTGCAACTGTTAAAACTGCTTAGCAAGTACATTCCCAGCAACTGCCACAAACATCATTCTCAAGATTCAAAAATGTATCATTTCCAATCCATGCAAATGACAGAGGTAAGAAGGAAGGATTAAAAAAACAACCAAATCTTTGTTAGGAGCTCTTCTTTCTGGATTTCTATCTTAAAAGCATATAATAAAACAAACTAGTTCAAAATTCCTAGTGGATTTTGATGGAAAACCAAAGCAAATCACCGACCATCAAGACCATTACAACAAAAACCTATAGTCTATGCTAACTATAGTAAATGAAGAAAAATATCTGAAAAGACGCTGCAGATGACTCACTACTGTCCTACCCTATATCCACAAGCTTCATGAATCAACATTCCTCCCACACCAATCTTATGCTTTCTCATCTCCAAAACCTTCCGGTGGGAGTTTGAATGCGCAGCAGCCGAGAAAGTAGGGCTATTAGCCGGGCGATACTCTGGTAACAGCCTGCCTGACTTATAGCGCACACCACAAGCATTACACAGTGTTTTTGGCCCCAGAGGGCCTGCCCGCCATTGTGGGGTCTTATCGGCTCCACAGTGTTGGCACCTCCTCCCAATGCTAGCAGCACTCTTAGCTGAATTCATTGGTAAAGAAAGCAATGGCTCACGCTGCTTAACGTTCTTGAAACTCGGTTGTGTCACCGGCAGACAATGCTCGCTTGGCATGTCAGCAAATCCACCTCTCCGTCTTCTACGTCTTCTCTTGCTCCGTGCACGAACAGGGTAATTAACCGGAACTTTTAAGTTGACGCAGCAGCTCGTATAAGCATTTCCACTAACAACACCATTGCCACTGCTGTGACTAGTGCTGCTACTATTCTCCAGCACTGAAACCGGGCTATGGTGATCAAATACCATACCCGGGTTCTCCGAAAGAATGCCAAACTCTATCGCTGGAAATGCATCTTTGTTTGACAGCCATTCCAACTCTTCCTCTACACACTCCTACAGAATGCAATATGTTAATACATAATAATCTCAACTAAGCCACTTATTTCAAACAAGTTTTCAATTTAATTGTTTAATTTACAAGTTTTCTTATAATAAAAATCAATTAACTGTATTATTTAGATTATATCGAAAAATAAAAAATATCTAGGAAGGAATCTAGTTATGTACTAGGCTTAAGACATTGTACACAGTACAAGAACAACAACATACACCGCGAGACACCACAAGTGGGGACTGGAGAGGGTGGATTGTACACCGACCTTACACCTTTCTCGTGTGTGCACCGGTAGAGTCCGAATTTCCACTAAAAGATAAGTAAAATCGCCTAGACGTCAAGGGGTGTCAATACGTAATGTAAAAAAATATATTTTTAACTAGTTACACAATGTAATTTTCCAACAAAAGGAATGTACTTGTGTGAGGTGGATAGGTCATTTCCGATAAACACTCGACTCGACTAAAAGGAAACAAAAAGTCAATATTTCCAACTAGTACAATTCACAACTTTGACAAAATGGAGTGTAAATAATCATTGATGTTAGGGGCAAAAATGTCTTTGTACATTATGGAATGCAAGTTGAAACTGATATGGCACATTTATTTGTACAGCTCAAACATAGTGACAACCAATATAAAGTCATGTTGTAGACATTTCAAAATTCCCAAAATAACCCCACATTTCATTTCTTTCAACAACAAAAAAGTCCCAATTTTAATTAAAAATTAAATTAAATTCCAAAAAAAAAACTTTTTTTTGTTAATCACCAGTCCCCCATATGTCATTCATCCATGATTCTTAGGGTTACAAGGGCAAAATAGTCCAAAAAAATTCAATTCTCTCTAAACACCTCTCAACTTTCACCCAGTCAATCAACTTTCTCAGTCTTCCCTCAACAACCGTTTCAAAACCACCCACCTTTTTCATCATCATTTACAAAATACCCTCCAAACCCCCGGAAGTTTTGTTCACTCACCGGAAAACACCATTTCCGGTCCATAAAAACTTCTGGGTAGTGTATAAAAGGTGAAAATCGAACAAAAAAACTTAACAATCAGTGAAATTTAAGTGACTTACAGGGTGGGGAAGAAGGCTAACAAGAGGGTTTGTTGAAGACGAAGAAGAATAAGAAAGTGGGTCTTTGCTAGTAATAGTTGATTTTTCATCATCTTCTTCAACAGTTTCATCTTCCAAAGAGAAGTTGAGAAGGTCATCATCCACCATGAAACATGCAGTTGGGTCCAAATCCTCCATTTTCATTGTTTTTTTCACACACAGAGAGCAAAAGGGAGAAATTGAAAGAGAAAAAAATGGAATAAGGGTTTGGTTTGATTTTGTTTAGAGAGAAGAAAAAAAAATGAAAAGGAAAAAAATAAATAAATAGTGAGTGGGTGGGGTGGGTGGGGTTAGGGGGTGGGTGGGGGGAAAAAGATTGGTTCTCTTTTGAAGGAGTTATTAATATTATCGGAGGTAAAACGCTCACTAATAAGAAAATAATTTGTGTCTTAAAAATAAAGTTGTTTTTGATAATTATAATATTAACTCTAAAAATGTTCAATAATATAGTCAAAAATATTAACTAATTAAATAAAAATATTATAAAATTAAATATTTATATAATTTAGATATTTAAAATCTATACTGTTATTTTTTTATATTAATATTGTGAAATAATATATATTAAATATTGGTCAAAGTATTTTCCTTATTTTCTACTAGATTATTTTCCTTTTATTTCTCTTCTCCATATTTCCATTGGGAATTTATAATAATTAAATAGAGATATTATAAAATTTAATATTTATATAATTTAAATACTCAAAATTTATACTTGTAAGTTTTTTATATTAATATTATGAAAATATTAATGTATTAAATATTGGTCAAATTTTGTAGTATTTTCTCTTTTTTTTCTACTAGATTATTTTCCTTTTAATTCCCTTCTCCATATTTCCAATGGGAAATTAATATTTCTTCATATGATATTTATTTTTTAGTAATCTTTTTCATATTAATGCTATGAAAAAATATATATTAAATTTGGTCAAAGTTTATAGTATTTTCTAAAAAATTCTTTCCTTTTTATTTCCCTACTTTATATTTCCAATGGGAAATTATTTTTATTTTCACATGATATTTAGATTAAATGAATTAATTAAGTTTGTATAATTTAGATAGTCAAAATTTATATTTGTAATCTTTTTCATATTACTATTATGAAAAGCATGTATTAAATATTAGTCAAAGTTTATAGTATTTTCCTTTTTGCTACAAAATTATTTTCTTTTTTATTTCCCTACTCTATATTTGCAATGGGAAATTATTATTTTTCACATGATATTTAGATTATTAATTAATTTTTTATATATATAATTAAGATATTCAAATTATATATATATATATATATATATTTTTATATATATATATATATTGGTCAAAGTTTATAGAAATTTCCTTATCTTATACAAAATTATTTTCCTTTTATTTCCCTGTTCTATATTTCCTACGGAAATTTTTTATTATTTTCTCATGATATTTAGATTAAATGAATTAATTAAGTAGTGTATAATTTAGATATTTAAAATTGATATTTGAAATCTTTTTTATATAATTAGTACTATGAAAAAATATATATTGAATATTGGTCAAAGTTTATAGTGTTTTTATAAAATTTTTACTAAATTATTTCCTTTTATTTTCCTACTCTGTATTCCCATTGGGAAATTATCATTATTTTCACATGATATTTAGATTATTAATTAATTTTTTTTATATATAATTTAGATATTTAAAATCTATATATGTAATCTTTTTCGTATATATATGTATATATTTTGTTCAAAGTTTATAATATTTTCCTTATTTTTACTAAATTAGTTTCCTACTCTATATTAAATGTTGGTCAAAGTTTATAGTATTTTCCTTATTTTCTACTAAATTAGTTTCCTACTCCATATTTCCAATAGGAAATTATTATTATTTTCTCATGATATTAAGATTAAATTAATTAATTAATTTTGTATAATTTAGATATTTAAAATCTACATTTGTAATCTTTTTTATATTAATATTAATTTTTTTATACATTAATTATGTATAATTTATATTTGTAATTTTTTTTCACATGTATAATAAAATTACATATTTTTTCATAGTATTTTCCTTGTTTTCCACTACATTATTTTCCTTTTGTTTACCTAATCTATATTTCCAATAGGAAATTACTATTATTATCACATGATACTTAGGTTGAATTAATTAAATTGTTTGATAATTTAGATATTAAAAATCTATATTTGTAATTTTTTTTATATTAATACTATGAAAAAATATTTATAATATTGGTCAAAGTTTATAGTATTTTCCTTGTTTTCTACTACATTATTTTCCTTTTATTTGCCTACTCTATATTTCCAATAGGAAATTATTGTTTTTTCACATGACATTTAAATTAAGTTGATTAAACTATTTTGATAATTTAGATATTGAAAATCTATATTTGTAATCCTTTCTATATTAATATTATGCAAAAATATATATTAAATATTGGTCAAAGTTTATAATATTTTCCATGTTTTCTACTACTACATTTATTTTCCTTTTATTTACCTAGTCTATATTTCCAATGGGAATTTACTATTATTATCACATGATATTTAGGTTAAATTAATTAAAATGTTTGATAAGATAGATATTCAAAATTTTTGATAAGATAGATATTCAAAATTTATACTCGTAATCTTTTTCATATTAATACTATGAAACAAATATATATATCAAATATTGGTCAAAGTTTACGGTATTTTCCTTATACTAAATTATTTTCCTTTATTTCCCTACTCTATATTTCGAATGGGAAATTATTATTATATTCACATGATATTTAGATTAAATTAATTAAAAATTAAGATAATATCATGGAATATGTAATAGTGATAAATATATTTATATTTATCATTAATCTAATAAAGAAAATTAAAACTGTTTTCCTTTATTCTTTTGTAGTTATGATTAAATTAAATTGGAATTGCCATTTGTTTTTTTTTTAAATAACATGGAGAAAATAAAGATGGAAAACAATATTTATGTGATCTTGGAGTAATTTGATAGCTGCAAATCCATATTTTTGCAGTTACTATTATTTTGACTTTTTGAATATTGAAATAAATCATTTTTGTTTCAAGTTTGAATATTTTATACTAAAGTAAATTTATATTTATTTCAAATTTGAATAATTTTTATTTGTCGTGATATGCACATTTATTATATAATTAAATATGATAAAACATTAACATTGCGTTATTTCCATGCAAATAATTATTTAATTTGAATAAATTTAAAATTATCTCAATTTGTCGCGATATGCACATTTATTATAGCAGAGATATACAATAATAGAAAATATTGACTTGGTGTTATTTTCATATAAAAATATGTAATTTTATTTTTATTTTATAAAAATAGAAAAGTAATTTTCGATATACCTCTTCAATTAAAAAATATGGCGAAATTGCATATTGATTATTGGATATGCTATGTACTACTATTGGAAAATTAATATTATTTATCACATTTAAGGAATGAAATCTTTTTTGCAAATTGTAACTGTTAACATATTTTTATCATATTATTCATACATAAATGCTGATAAAAATAAATAAATAATTTGAGAAGGCGTTTAGAATGTGGAAAAGACGTCAATTATTTTCACATTGAGGAAAATAAAATAAAATAAAATTACATCCTTTCGAATTCATTTACCAAGAAAGAAATGTTCGATTTAGTTATACAATTAAGTTCCTCTAATTTATACAATTACTTGACTAATTTAACACTTGTATTAGTAAAATAATAATTAATATTCTGTATTTATAAATTACTTTGTAGTCAAAATCTTATACTTCTTGATTCATTTCACGTGAAACAAATTATTTTAAGTTCAAATTCTTAAAATTTTATTGTATTTTTTATTTCATTTAAATTGTTCATGACTTATTATACTTCTTTTGTTAATTTAAATAAATATGCAAATTTTATTGCTAAATAACTAGATCATTCGTCCAAATTCAACAAAATTTAGATAGTTAGATGCTCAATAAAAATGAACTTCATATTTTACGACTTATTGAGGCTAATGCATGCTAACTAAAATGAAGAGACGACAAAAATATTGAAAATATTTTGACACCAAATTATTAATTTCAGCTTCAAACTATTGATAATCTTAAAAATACTTTTGAGCCTAATGCATGTTAGCTAATACTTAAAAGAAGACATGACAAAAATACTGAAAACATTTCGATAATGAATTATTAGTTTCATCTTCGAATTATTAATAGTCTTAAAAACACTCCTTAATTTGACTAACTGAATGTAAATACATTCTGACTGAGCGAAAATAGGTGGGGGTTCATACGTCGAACGAATATAATAGTTTTTTCGTAGACCCTATTATTATATGACAAAATTAAGGAATTATAACTTGTGAACCCTTAAAAAGAAAAACTTACTAATAGTTCAATGGTAAGGAAGGAGAAGAAAATTTAGAACCCTGAACTCTTAATACTGACTTCACGTTTACATTTCGATCTCGCAATATGAGTAAAATACATTTTTAAATTTTGAATCAAACTCGTTTAATATTAATATTTTATCATATATTTAATTGCTCGATTATAATAATGAAAAGGCAAAATATATGAATAGGCCAAATGATTGCTACATGACAAGTGAAAGTACACATTAACATGAAGAATACCTGTCTTATTACTTGTTAGGATATGACTGCCAATAAATTTAATCAAAGGGGTATTTATGTCTTTGAATAGATTACGGGTCGCTTACGTAACGGGTCGGGCGATTGAACCGATGTCTCCTTGTTTCCATAAAGGTCCAAATCACACGTCATACAGCCAATCATAAACTGACACGTATTTTTTGTTTTATTTTTAATTTACGGAAAAAAATAAATCTTTTTGACTATCAGACACCGCACGTGGCGGCGATAATCTTGTGATTTTTTTAATTATCCATTCAATTGTAATAATTGGAGGTTTATTTTTTTAAAAAATCATTTTGAAAAAAATATTTTAGTCAAATGTTTGAAATTTAATTGGAGAAAATCTAGTGAAAGTTTCGATATAAAAATTGTGGAATTTAAAAAAATATTATTTATTTTTTAAGTTGAAAATATGCTATGAATATTGATTTTTTTTTTAGTTTTTGAGTGATTTTATAATAATGTTATGTTCTAACAATTTACAAAGTGAGAATTATTCATAATGCATAAACTAATTATTTATGTGATTAATGATTATGTATAATACAATTACCTACTTTTAAAAAAATGTTTCATATA